AAGAAAGAAAGAAAGAAAGAAAGAAAGAAAGAAAGAAAGAAAGGAAGGAAGGAAGGAAGGAAGGAAGGAAGGAAGGAAGAAAGGGAGGAAAAGGAAAGAGAATGAGAGAAAGAAAAGGGAGAAAGGAAAGAAAAAAGGAAGGAAGGAAGGAAAGGAAAGAAAAGAAAGAAAGAGAAAGAGGAAGTGAGGAAAAGGAAAGAGAATGAGAAAAACAAAAAGAAGAAAGGAAAGAAAAAAGGAACGAAGGAAGGAAGAAAAGAAAAAAGGAAAAAAGGAAGAAAAGAAGAAAGAAAGAAAGACAAAATATGGTTCCTGGAGACCTTTCTTCTAACCTCTACTCCGTCACTTATCACCTATGTAACACTGGACAAGTCAGTTTCCCTCCCTGTGCCTCAGTTTCCTCATCTGTAAAATGAGGAAGTTGGCTAGATGGCCTTTGGAGTCCCTTCCAGCTCCAGAGGTCCCCCTAGTATCTCTTCTCCTCCTCGGGCACTTACTGGACTTTGTGTTATAGAAGGCACAGTTCCTGGAGATGGGCGAAGGCTCCGCATGGTTTTCTTCATCCTCAGAATCTTCTAGTGCTTGCCCCCCTACAATCACCAGAACTTCCTCCAGCTTCTGTGGAAGCATCGTTGAAGACTGTCAAGCCAAGAGTATGAAAGAGATTAAAAGGAGAACAATTGGAAGTGTTTCAACCCTGACTCTAGAAGATAGTTACAAAACACTTTTCTCACAAATAAAGACAGATCTAGACAACTAAAGGCATATTAATTGCTCGTGGGTAGGCCAAGTTAATATAATAAAAATGAAAATTCTGCCCAAGTTAACTTACTTATTCAGTGCCATACCAATCAAACTACCAAAGAATTATTTTATGGAGTTAGAAAAAATGATAATAAAATTCATCTGGAAGAACAAAAATCAAGAATATCAAGCAAATCAATGGGGAAAAAATGGTAAGGAAGGCAGCCTAGCAGGACCAGATTTCAAGCATTGTTACAAAGCAGTAATCATCAACACAAGCTGATACTGGCTAAGAAAGAGAATGGCGGATCAATGGAATAGACTGGGTACATAATACACAGTAGTAAATGACTATAATAACCTAGTGTTTGATAAACCCAAAGATCCAAGCTTTGGGGGCAAGAGCTCACTCTCTGACAAAATATTACCTGGAAAACTGGAAAGTAATTTGGCAGAAACTAGGTATAGACCAATGTTTCGCACAATATATCAAGATGAAATCAAAATGAGTGAAGGATTTAGACATAAAGGGTGATGTCATAAGCAAATTAGGGGAGCGTGGAAATTTTTCCCTGTTAGATCAATGGATAAAGGAAGGGTTGTGAACAAGCAAGAGATAGAAAGGATCACAGGAAGTAAAGTAGATAATTTCAATTATATGAAATTAAAAGGTTTTGCACAAACAAAACCAATGCAGCCAAAATTAGAAGGAAAGCAGGAAACTGGGTGGGGGGGATTTTATAGCAAATTTCTCTACTAAAGGCTTCATTCCTCAAATATATAGGTAGCTGAGCCAACTTTATAAAAATAAAAATCATTCCTCAATTGATAAATGGTCAAAGGATACGAACAAGTAGTTTTCAGAAGAAGAAATCAAAGCTGTCAATAGTCACATGAAAAAGTGCTCCAAGGCATTATTGATTAGAAAAATGCAAATTTAAACAACTTGGAAGTACCACCTCACACGTATCAGATTGGCTAACATGACAGAAAAGGAAAATGACAAATGCTAAAAGGGATGTGGAAAAATAGGAACACTAATTCATTGTGTAACTGTTGACTGGTCCGACCACTCTGGAGAACAATTTGGAACTACACCCAAAGGGGTATAAAACTGTATATGCCCTTTGACCCAGAAGCTCACTACTATGAGCTTTGGGCTACTATGTACTCCAAAGAGATAGAAGAAAAAGGACAGTGACCCACATGTACAAAAATATTTATAGCAGCTCTTTTTGTGGTGGTAAAGAATTGGAGATTGAGGGAATGCCCATCAATTCAAGAATAGCTGAACAAGTTGTGGCATGTGGTTGTGAAGAAATACTATTGTTCTATAAGAAATGATGAGCAGGATGATTTCAGAAAAACCTGGGAAGATTTATATGAACTGATACAGAGTGATGTGAACAGAACCAGGAGAACAGTGTACACAGTAACAGCAACATTGTAACAAAGATTCAGCTACTCTGATCAAGACAATGATCCAAGATAATTCCAAAAGATCCATGATGAAAAATGTTCTCCACCTCCAGAGAAAGGATTGATGAGCCCTGAGTGCAGATTGAAGCATACTGTTTTTCACTTTCTTTGTTTCTTGCTTTTTTTTTATGCAACATGGCTAATATGGAAATGTGTTTTGCATGACCTCACATGCATAAGAGGTATCATGGAAAGTCCCAGGAAGCCAAGGGAGGCAGATAGAGGCTAAGTCAGAAAGGACAGAGTTGCCTAGTGGACAGAGATCAAGACTTGGAGACGGGTAGTCCTGGAATCGAATCTTGCCCCATACACTTATTGTATGAGGTCTACAGAAGCCTCTGCTGAGGGATGGAAAGTCAAAAAGCCCTTAGCCTGGAGGAACAGTTCCCCGACATACACACATGCATACCAGCACACACACACATACAGGCATGCACATATCATACATACACACAAACATACATGCACATATATGCACATGCATGTGCACACATGCACGCACGTGTACACGTGTCCACATGGGTGTGCGCGTGCGTGCACACACACGCACGCACGCACACACACACACACACACACCCTCCATAACTAGCTCTTCACATGATGGAGGCCAGGGTGGGACGGCTGCAGTGACTCTGGCTATCGGCCACCTGACATGAGGCTGAGGGCCAGCCAGTCAAGAAGCTCCCCTAGCCCTGTGAAACAGCACTCATCTTCCACGCCCCTACAGCCGGGGTCACTCAGGGTCGCCCACCCATCCCCATCACTGACCAGGCTCTGGTGCTGGGAGATCACCGCCTTGCAGGCCTCGGAAGCTCGAGTCAAAGGCTCCGTGCAGAGAAGGTGCTGCCGGAATTGATCAGAAAGGGAAACCAGGTGTACCAGGCCCAGCAGCTCAGGCAGGTAGCGGGCCCGGGCCTCCTCCTCGTGCCTCACCCACCTGAGCAGGGCCTCGGCCCGGCTCTGCTCCTCCCGCACCTGGAGCAGCTCGCTGGCCAGGTAGGTGGCCAGCCGGTCTTTGGGCAGCTGCAGGAACTCCTCTTCTTGAGACACAGCCTCGAAGTTCTCCTGCAGGAAGGACCAGGCCTTAGAGGACACCTCTGGGCAGCCATGGCGCTCCCCAAAGTCGCAGATGCCCAGGCAGTTGGTGGCGTCTATCTGTTGCTGCAGGTAGCGGCTGCACACCTTCTGCACGGCGGGGAAATGGAGCCGGTTGGAGGTCTGGGTCAGAGCCTCCACATTGTCCTGGTTGACGGTGAGCCTGCCGGTGTATACAAAGTCCAGCAGCATCCCCACTGTGCTGGGGTCCACGTCCGGCAGCTCCACCTGGGCAGCGATGCTCTCGGCAAAGTCCCCCGCAAACATGGCATGGAAGTAGGGACTGCAGAGTGCGAGGAGGCTGCGGTGGCACGGGAAGGCCTGGCTGCCGGCCAGCAGGGTGATGTCTGACAGCTTGGGGTGGGCACGGAAGGCCCTCAGCCCCTCCAGGACGTCCTGGGGATGCGACTGGAGGCAGAAGTCAAGGTCATCCATGTTCCTCACCATGGCTGTGGCACAAGTGCGTCCTCTCCGGACCCCAACCTGCCCCAGAGGGGAGAGCAGAGGAGTCAAGATGGCGCATCGGTGGAGAGGAAGCTACCGTCCCTGACTCCCCGCCCCCTACCCCATCCGGCCTCCTCGGGGTATTGTTTCAGGCTCTAGTGAGCCGAGCCCACTGATAATGAGGATGACCAAGAATTACAGACATGGAGAATGTGGGGAATGGTCCGACCCCCTCATTTTATAAAGGGGGAAACTGAGGCCCAGAGAGGTCGAGTGACAAGCCCAAGGTCTTACATGGGTCAGAGAATCATTGATCTAGTTGAAAATAACCTCAGAAGTCATTTAATAGAATGAGTGTCCGCAAGGTGAAAGCAAGACCACAGAACAACAGATCTGGGACTGGTAGCAATTTCCAAGGTCACAAACCAGAGAGGGAGATGCTACTGTTCCCATTTTCAAATGAGTTCAGTGACTCACCCTGGGTCACACAGCTAGTCATGCTGTGGTGGGATTTGAACTCAGGTCGTCCTGACTACAGGCCCAGCCCTTTAGCCATGACTACACCATGGATTCACTAGTCAGTCTGGCTATTTCTGTCTACGTGATGTGTCCTCCTTCTGGGGAAAGAGAACTCATCAGCCCAGCCTGACTCTCTCCCGAGCCATTACTTTTTCTGAGAAGACCGATAACCGGTTCCCAAGTAAGATGACTCGCCTGGGTTCCCCAGAGACTTTCCCAGTCCTAGCCAACACCGCAGAGTTGAGGCATCGCCTGTCTTCACAGCCCAACTACCGTCAGCCCGAACCTCCCCACCAGCCCTTGGCAGCTGGGCAGAATTTCCACAGTGTGAATGACAAGGGATGGTGGCGGCTGAGACAGCCAAGAGCCTCAGTTTCTCCCTGACATTCGCTGCACTGGCCTTGATGGAAAACTGTAGTAAACTGCTTGCTTCCAAATAGAAGCGAAATGAAAATGGATCCAAATTAAGGCTGAGGGCCAGGCCACGTGGGCAGGTGGGGGAGGCTCTTGAGCTCCCAGGGAGGGAGGGAGAGTGTCAGTGAAACTGGGGCCGGGACTCTTGGCCCACTGTTGTCTCAGAGGCCTCCAAAGGTGTCGAGTCCAGAACGAGCTTCGCCCAGACTCGCCATCGAATCCAGACCCACAGTTAGCCCACCCCTCCATCCGTACTTCTTCCTCACGCCGATTCTCTCCTTCTGAATCAAGGCCCCTTTTATGCAATGAGACCTCAGGGCACTGAAGCTCCTTGTATCAGAGCCGTACCTGGCTGAAGCCATAGCGTCTCTCTAGGGGTGCAGCCCTTCCAGAGGGGTATTTCCCCCTTAGGATTTAGGGGCAGAACACAGCCCTGGGTGGGGATGCTGGGACTCTGGAGGTGATGGCCACTGATGGACAACTGAGGAGAGTGGGAAGGAAGGGCCTGCAGTTTGGGGCTGGAACCCTGACCAGGTCAGCAGCCCCGACAAAGCCCAGCTCTCAGGCTAGTTATGGGCTCTGGTCTTATCTTACAGTGGTAGCCACGAACAGAAGAAGAAAAGGCTGGCCAGTAAGAACCTCTGTCGGCTTCTCCCTGTAGCCACGTGCCAACCCCACTCCCACTCCTCTGAATTTCAGGGCTGTTTATCATACCATCCTCCAAGCTGCCATCAGCATCTCTGTTTGATAAACTTTGGGCATATCTATCTGATAAAAACCAAGGAGACGGGAGCAGCTGCAGGCCAGGACCAGGCTCTCGAGTGAGCCAAGGGCCGATGGGAGGGCTGCTTTCCCATGGCCCTGTTCTCCCATCCTTGGGAGCTTTTCTGTGGGTAGTAGGAGCAGCAGTGGGCCAGGATAGAGTAGCTTTTCTGGCCTGGGTTGTTAAGAGCAGGACATTGTCCCCCTTATAGCCAGGGACAAAAGCTGCCTTGGGACTCCAAGACAGAGAGGGGGCTGATGGCCAGACCCACCCACCCTTGTGTTTCAGGGAATAGCCTTGAGCAAGTTTGAGTGGAGAAGATAAAAACCTGGGTTCTCACCAGGCCCTTGGCTCCTCTCACCTGAGCCCCCAGGGGTGCAGCCTGCCTTCTGGGGTTCCTCCCAGGAGCCCCTTGAAGGCTCAGTCAGCCTGATTCACCGCTCCTTCAGTCTGGAGCTGGACAGGCTGGCTTCCCCACAAAGTTCAATCCTGCCCAGGCCTCCCTGCTCCCAGGCCTTACCTCTGAGCTTCCGCCCTCAACGCTCGTCCTTCTCTGCCCAGGCTCACCCAAGGAACAGGTGCTGGGCACAGTCCAGCCGGGGCAACAAAGGAGGGAAGACAGGAAGAAATTTTCTCCACGGATTACCAGCCCAAGGAGGCTCAGGCCTCAGAAAGCCCTGGGCAGGCAGGCGCTGGCCGCAGACCAGTAGGAGAGGCGTGCCGGGGCAGGCTGACAGGGGTATTTTTAGACCTCTGCCTGCCCCAGTGCTGGGGGTGGGAGGCAGCCGGGGGAGAGAAGTGGGGGTGGGAGATATTGGACAGTGAGGGATTCTGGCCAGGCTGCTTGCCCTTAAAGCCACACACCCAGGGATGTGAGACAGAAGAACTGTGGCGGAAAGGGAGCAAACATAAGCACCTACTGTGTTTGTGTGTGTTTGTGTGTGTGTGTGTGTGTGCGAGTGCGCACACGCGCAAGGCACAATTTGGGGCATTGGGGGTATTAAGGCACAGTCCCTGCTCTGAAGGAATTTATAATTCCCTAGGAGGCCTGACAAGCACCCAGAGGGCAGTAGGTGGTACAGCAGAGAGAGCATCTGGAATCAGAAAGACCTGAGTTCAAATCCTACCTCAGATACTTGATAGCTATGTGACCCTGGGCAAGTCACTTAATCACTCTAGGCCTGTTTCATCACCTGGGAAATGAAGGAATTAGACTCAATGGCCTCTGAAGGCCCTTCCTGTCCTAAATTCATATTCAGTTAAGATCCATTAGAGACACCATGAAAAGAGTCTTAGATTTGGAGTCCTAAGCCCTGGATTCAAATCTTACTTCTGACACTTATTACTTATGTGACCCTGGGCAAATCATTTGATCTACCTGAGTCTCAGTTTCCTCTTCTGTAAAATGAGATGGGATTGGGCTCTGAGATGTCTTCTAGGTCTAAATCTAAGATCCATAAATCCTTCTGATTCCTCTGGGCTTCAGTTTCTTCATTTCTAAAATGAAAAGCTAGGACTAGGTGGTCTTAGGAGGTCCCTTCCAACTCTAATATATGTGATCCTAAGTCACCTAATGCCCTGTGCCTCAGTTTCCTTATCTACAAAATGAGGGAAGAGTGGATTAGAGAGACCCTGGCCTCCCTTCTAGTTTCAGATTTACGATTCTAGAATTATGATGTTGGAGCGGTACAAACAGGACGTCAGCGATGATTCTAAAAGGACCCAGCCATGCAGAGCTGGGGCCGGCAGGGAAGGTTTCATGATGGAAATGGTCCTTGATCTTGGCCTTGACCAAGGAGGATTCTCATCAACAAAGATGGGGGAAGGGCATTGAAGGGGCTGCGATGAATGAGGCGTGGAGGTGGGAAACGAGAAGGAGATGGGGAAGGACAACGAGTCCAGCTGAGGTGGGGCGTGGAGCCGGGGAGATGGCAGATAGGAAGGATATAAAGGAAGATTTCTAGGAAGCGATGCAGGGGAAAGAAAGCAGCATCAGATGGACCATATACACTGAATACTGAGCAGTCAGAGAGATAAATTTGGGCTTGATACTGGGAACATTTTCCCAGTTGGAGTCATCCCAACGTGAAATTGATTGGAAGTCCATCCCACCCCTACAGCCGCTTCCTCATCTCGGTCACATCCTCCTTGATCTTCCATTTTAAGGAGGACACCCAGGTCAGCCGTGTCTTTATTCCTTTCCAGGCCCCTGATTCTCTGGACTTTATCTACCATGCCTCAATAAGGGCACCTTCTCTTGCTTTTCAGTAGTTTTCTTTGGAGAATTGAATTGTGTTGGATTAAACTGAAATCAATAGAATGGAATCAAATGGAATCGAAGTGAAGTGAATTAAATCAAATGGAAACAAAATTGGGTTGGTTTGGGTTGGGTTTTAACTCCTCCCTTTAGGGAGGCCAGAAAGGGGCAAAAGATGGAAGTCTGGCCCTTTAGAGCCAAGTTTGGTTCTCTCCAGATCCTGAGGCTCCCCAACTCCTTTCCCTGTCCTCTTGAGTTGACCTAACATCCAATGGACTCTTCGCCAGAAAGATGCCAGCATGAAATCTATCTGCCCCTTTTGCCCTGTGGAGCTACAGAGATAGAAAACACTATATAAATAACCTGGCTATTATAGTGATTCCACCTCTCACATTCACCCACCCCAGAGAAGGCTCGGTTTCAGGCATCGTCCATTGATGCCAGACTCTCTGGATTTCAGGCTTTAAATGGAAATAGAGTCAGTGTTTCTTCATTCTCTGGGAGGAGCTGGTTTCTTTGGAGGTCCCAAGAGAATTCTCTGGGAAGATCTTACCCTGAATGTCTGGGCATTGTGCTGCTACTCACAGAACCTGAGAGATAGGAGTGAACTCCGATAGCATCTGAGCAGGGATCCCTTCCAGCATCCCCAATGAGGGGTCAACCAGCTTCACTGTGGCACCCCCCAGGAGGGGGATGCTAGCCAGTATATAATGAATGTAAATACTAAGGCTGGCAAAGTGCTTTGCGTGTGTCAGAATGTCACTCCCTCCAGAGGCAGCCCACCACACTTTGGGACAGACCCCATCATGAGGAAGCAGGAAGCCTCTTCTCATGGCTTCCCCTGCCTGAGATTGGCCCTTTTGCAAGAGGGCCGAGGAGAGGTTGGATGGAGCCAAGGAGCAGCCCACGAAGATGTGTGTCCTCCCTCCCAACCTGACAAGGGCTGAAATCCCTAAAATGTGAAAAGCTGGATCAAAGCGCAGTATGAGAGGGTTAGAGAAAAGGAGCAGGGACTGCGGGATTCCTCTGGTGGTTGATATTCAAGATACA